GGTTCACCTACTTCCTCTCCTAAGGACTTTAGGAAGCTGCTTATTACTAACTTCTTTAAGAACCTTCCAAAGGCCAAGTTTTATTACATCATCAGGAAAATGTCTGTCAGCCCCCCAGGTAATCAAGCAGGAGACATAACTACATGATCTAATTCTACTTTATTATAAGGCTACATTAATAGAATTTTGCAAGTTGGAAAATACAAAACCTTCTGCCATCACTTTTAACCAGATGAATGGGGTTTTGAAAAACAGCAAAAGGTGGACTAGAAGATGGATTTTGGAAAGTTAAGGGGCTAGAATGACTCAAAATAATATTGAGTTGATCTAGAATAATATTTATATGAATATTTTGAAATTAATTTGTAAAAAAAAAAAAATCCCATGAGAAAGTTTAATTGATTTGAAAATAAACATGATAAAAGGGGACTTGAAGGTTGACTAGATGGAACAAATAATTACTCTAAAGGAGAACAAACCCAATAGAGCAATAATATTTGACTATAGAAGAAATCAAGGTTGCTTGGGAACAAGGTACTCAGAAGCCACTTACAAGAATGTTTGATACCATAGTAAATAATAGACGCAATTTACATAGACTTCTGTAAAGCCTTTGATTCAGTAGTGCATGACAAACTACTTCCGAAACTAAAATCTTATGGCATTTCGGGACCCCTACATAATTGGATAGCTGCGTTCCTGTCAAACAGGCAACAAGTGGTTAAAACAAGTGGTGCGCATAAGCGCACCAGCATGCCTACCGTCCCTGTTCTACTGTCCACATTTATATGTAATCATTCTATGTGTTTATGGATATCCTTTGCCTATTTATAGCCTTTTATTTGTGCCAATTTTTTTCATGTATCCATGTCTATGTCTATACTGTTATTTGTTTCCTTATACTTGTTGACAAATAAAATAAATAAATAAATAAATAAATATAGAGGGACAACAGATTTTACTGAATAAAACAGAAGCTGTTGTGAATATGGATTTGGAGTAAAAAATGCTGGATTAAAGAAGAGATATGGAAAAAGATATATGTATCTGAAAATGGTTTTAAAATGCCAGGAGGTAAGAGTGATATAGAAAAAGATGCCAAAATGAAACCAGCTTAATAATTAAAGGGGACATACAAATAATAAATCAGAAGAGGGAAAGCCCTTTTTATCTCAGATTTACAAAAGGAAATCAAGGAAACTGTTTATACTTGTTTGTAGGGAGGGGGAGTAATCAACTTGGGGAAATAGTGAAAATGGGACGGGTCTTGCTTGTAGAAGGAGGTGTATATGAATTTGGAACAATAAATAATAATACATTATTATTTAAATAATAATTTAAATAATTTTAAATAAGAACTTGGACAATAGCTATCCTATCACTTACGTTATTTAACTTAAGAATGAAAGGGCACATCTTATATCATACGACCAAAGGGATGGAAGGAAGCTTATTTTGATTTTATTCAGTTTAGGATTGTATTTGTGCATTCCTACAATCTCTCTCCTGCTGTATATTCAAATTCAGTCATCTCCATGTTTAGTGTAAACATATGCAAATACACAAAGTAAACTCAGTCTTCTGTAAAACAGGAGGATATTAATTATTTGGGGACCAGTTACTTTGTTATTTTTAAGAATCAGTTCTTCACTTGAAAACATTGATAACATTCAGATGTATAAAATATGCAGAAAAGCGGGTAGGCAGTTAAAAATAATGTAAAAAGGAGGGCTATGTGGTGCCTTTAACATAATATAATTAGATTTTATGCACAGTTTAAACATGAAGGGGCTCATTTTTGACAATACAGTTTTAAAATGCAAGTTCTACCTGTTTCAGTTATGTCAATTTATTTCTGCATATAGATAGGATGGATGCATAATTTGTTGCTAGAGAAATTTAATGATGGCTTGAGTTCTAGAAATAAGCCTCCGCTGTTTCCACTAGCATGCATCCAATAGTCTATAGCAGTGATGACGAACCTTTTAGAGACCGAGTGCCCAAACTGCAACCCAAAATCCAGTTATTTATCGCAAAGTGCCAACACGGCAATTTAACCTGAATAATGAGGTTTTATTGCCTAAAATAATGATAAACAAGGCAGAGTTCAGCTAATTGTTCTAAGAAAAATGTGATAAATGCACTTTTATACCCCTTCATTTTTTTTCTGCTTTTGAAATATTACATTTAGCAACAGTAAGAAAGAAAAACTTTTGTAATATCATTTCTCTCTCTCTCTCTCTCTCTCTCTCTCTCTCTCTCTCTCTCTCTCTCTCTCTCTCTCTCCCCTCCCCCCCCTGCAGGGGGGGGACCCCTGAACTTAATAAAAATTAAACATTGTTACAATTAAATATGTCAGTGTTTTGTCTGAATAGAATAGAATAGAATAGAATAGAATAGAATAGAATAGAATAGAATAGAATTCTTTATTGGCTAAGTGTGATTGGACACACAAGGAATTTGTCTTCGATGCATAAGTTCTCAGTGTATATAAAAGCTATAAGTGATAAATCATCATCATAGTCATCATAAAAATCCATTTATCATAAATCATAAGATACAACACTTAGTGATAGTCATAGGATACTGAATAAGCAATTAACATAAATCATACCAGGAAACTAAGTAAAACAATGTAAATCGGAAATATATAAGCAACAAAGTTGTAGTCATAAGTAGAAAAGGAGATAGGTAATAGGAAAGATGAGAAGAATAATAGTAATACATACTTAATGAATAGTTTGACAGTGTTGTGGGAATTAGCCTCTGCCCCCAGAAGAATGAAATATTTTGGGAAATATTAAAAAGGCAGAATATTATATTTCCTTAAATAAGAATTGGAGAAACATGTTTATTAGAGCAAGAAGCAGCCTCCGAAGTCTTTCTTAATAGGCCACAGCAGATGCCAGTACTTAAGAGCTTATTGAAAGAAGAACCCAACTATTTAGATGCCTCTATTCATAAGCAAAGCAAAAACTGCAGGCATAAATCAATTCGAGACAGGATATTTCAAAACTGTTTTTTCTGCAGTTCTAATTATCCGTTGAAGTCTGTGTCTGTCTTGTTTGGTTACAGAGTCAAACTAGACAGTTATAGAAGTGCAGATGACAGACTATAATTCCTCTGTAGAACTGAATCAGCAACTTCTTGGGCAGTCTAAACTTTCTGAGTTGGCGCAGAAAGAAAATTCTTTGTTGTGCTTTTTTTATGACATTTTTTATGTTAGGTTTCCATTTTAAGTCTTGAGATATGATAGAACCTAGAAGCTTGAAGGTCTCTACTGTTGATACTGTGTTGTCTAGTATTGTAAGAAATGGTAGTATAGTAGGGTTAATAATAATCCTAAAACATTCTTTAGGTTTATTATGATCGTATTCTTTTGGGGGATAGATATACCATAGAAAGCTTTTAAAACAAACAAACAAACAAATGTTTGTTCTTTTGGGGCTTTACAGATTCTTATAAAACATTCCTTATGGTTATTAAGACCTTACTAAAAAAAAAAGTATCATTATCCCAAGTTCTCAACAAATCCATGGGCTTCTTTTTCCTGTCTAAAACTTCAGTTCAGTTATACTCAAAGTTTTGATGGACAGAAGGTCCCCTAGATGGATGCAATAAAAATTTTTCTACAAAAGACAGACTTACATTGTACCTTTATTTATATTTGGAAATCAGATAACCAAACAAATACAGATTTTAAAAAATAATGAAATAAAGAAAAGAGCACAGGTTTGTTAGGAAAACAAGTGAAGGAAAAATATTCAAAGTATGCTTATTTATTTATTCAACTTGTAAAGGGGCCCATGTCAAACAAGTGACAATGGGTGGCAAACAACCATAAAATCAATTATACAATTAAAAACAGAATATGACAAGCAAAATAAATACATAAACACGTGCATATAGGTACATAAACATAAAGTTACAGTCTGTCTATGGGACAGGTTTATGCCACCCATTTAAGGAAACAAGATAAAGAAGATAGAAATTCAGTCAAAAGGGCTACCTTCAGACTTCTGTCTGTTTACCTGGGAGGCCCCTCCCTCCCTCCCTCTCTCTCCCTCTCCCTCCCTCCCTCCCTCCCTCCCTCCCTCTCTCTCCCTCTCCCTCCCTCCCTTCCTCCCTCCCTCATTCTCCCTCTTAGTCCAACCTTCCACACTACCAACCCTGCTGCAGCATATTAAAAACGATTATGGTCGAGGTCTGCTCTACAACATATGCAACCCCAGTGCCATCTTCCAAACTCCAAGGGGAACTTCAGCAGTAGGGAGTTCTGGTCTTCCAGTGATCTAGAAAGATAACAACAATTGTTATACAGTCAGAAGTAACAACAGATCAAATTCAACTATTATATATAACTTATACAATTTATACAAGGAAGAAACAAAGGGCCATTCCTGAGATAGAGTAGCTTATCTTCATCCATTGTTGAATATAGGTGGATCAACGGTGGGAGGTGGAGGTCACAGCTCCTCTACTTCTAGGTCACCTACATGGAAATAAAAGATGAGAAAAATTAAAAGAAAAAGATATTGAAATTTGATCTGTTTGCTACACAGGTGGAAAACATATAGACGTTTTCCATCTATGGGAGTTGACTCAATTTATGACAACAAGGGAGATCAAACTCTGCATGATCAGTCATTACAGTTTTAAATCAAGTCGCCACATGACCAAATTCGATTTTACAATCATTTTTACAACAGTTGTTAAGTGAATCACATGGTGGTAAGTCCAAAAGCAGATTATTGAGTGGCTGGTTGTTCCTCCCCCTACCCTTTTTTTGCCTTAAAACAATGAAAATATCTCAAACTGCAATCATGTAACCATTGGATGCTGTAAAGGATTGTAAATTTGAGCTTGCCAACTACCCGAAATGTGATGACATTAGTGTATGGTTGATGTGACACTTGTAACTAGGAGGACAGGACATAAGTAACCCTCACCCTCTGCCCTTAATGTTCTCAATAAAGTTACCTTCATTGATGTTTTCTTAGGTCATTCCAGCCTGCCAGATTTCCCTGGGAACATCTAGGAAAGCCTGCTGGACTTCATCGAGCTGTAAGTTAAAGAAATGCCTCACTCTGTTGCCAAGGTTCTTGGAGAGTAATTCTCCTTCCCTTGGCCCATCACTCACATATTACTAGCAAGACATCCTTCCCAGAATTTCCTTAAGTAGAATGAGAGGAAAAAGACCCCCCCCCCCGTGCTCTCTCTGGCTCCAAGAGGGACGTTATTTGAGGGTGGGGTCCCAAGAGCTGCGGGGGACTCAAAGGCTACAATTCATGTTAATTTAGTTTTGCTACGTACATCGATCCTGGGATGATGGTTCCCACAGTAGAGAAGCTAGTTCAGTACCGGCAAGAACAGTTTCCCATGTGGATCCAAGTGCTGTGGAATTGACAAAGAAAAGACATGTTTTCTCATTTCTGAGAATTAAGAATCTCACTGCCAAAACACACATGTGCAATTTATGATAGTGTTCCTTCGAGCTGCCATGGGATTTCTGGACCCTTACCTTCAGAATAAAAATGAACTGCTCTGTGGTGGGAGACTGTCGAAGAAGGCTTCTGAGTGTGAAGCCAAAGGCCTCCTCCAACAACTTCTTCTCTACCTGAAAGGAAACATAAGAGATGGTGCTATTTCTTTTGGAGAACATTTCCCCATCCATGCAAAACCAGAAAGGAAATCCCAGAAATGTTGGTTAAAGTGGTACCTCAGAAACATTGTCCTGTGTTTCCAGGGTAGCCATCCAGTAAAAAATGGAAAGGTCCATCAGCATGGATTCTATCAGTTCATCCACTTCTGGTGTGATCTTGCTGTGGGATTAAAAGAAGGAAGAGACATCAGTGCCCACTCCCATATTAGTGAGCAAGCCTGAGTTTCATTTTCCCCATAAGAATAGAATAAACTGGCTCAACTGAATGGCCTTTCCCTTCGTACTGACTGAGTATCCCCAAACAGACTTTCCTCACCCACTATAAAAGAAACAAAAGACTGAATATAACAGTCTCTTGTGTCAGGGGGTTATCACTCTTTTAGCCATGTTATAACACATGCGTGGTAATATAAAAACTAATCTGATAGTCCAAATCCTCCATTTTCTTTAGATTCTTGTAACATTTTCAATTTAATTCTAGCTTTTTTCCCTTGTCAAATAAATTTCAAGATCAATGTATTCAAATCATCAAAGAATTTCTTTTCACGTTTTATAGGTACTGTTTGGAACAACAGGAAAAGCTGGGCTGCTGTGATGCCGCGCGTGCCCACAGAGAGGGCTCTGCATGCCACCTCTGGCACATGTGCCATAGGTTCGCCACCAGAGGTCTATAGAAATATTATGATGGATGGATGGATGGATGGATGGATGATGGATGTTATTCCAATCTTCCACATTCCTTTCCCAGGTTTTCTATCCTTGTTCCTTACATTCTGTTATCACAGTGAGATAACTACAGCCGTTTACCCTTACTCTTATCCTTCACCCATTTACTCTTAATTCTATTTATTCTGGATGGTTAGAAGTTACAACTAAGTGTGTTTATGTTCTGCCCCAGCTACGGGTCCCAAGAAATGTAGCACACACACACAGCTCCAAAAACTCTGTTTAATACAAACAGACCCCTCTCAAAATGCAAGCTTTAACCACAAATGTCCTTATCAGCCTGCTATGAATTACAGAGATTAAACAAAGTCCAACAAAGGTTGGCAATCAGCCCAGAAACCAAGTTGTAACAAAAACTCACTCTCAAAATGCTCTGCGTAGGACCAAACGTTGTTTCCAGCAACATTTGCTATCTGTGTGCGAACTTAAATAGGCTAAGGGAGTGGCCAATTAACCCGAAGACATACTCTCGAGGAGACCTCCTCCTGAGTAGCCACTCCTGCCTTTTGGCAGCCCTGCGTGCTCGAGCATTGAGAAGAGGCTCCTCCACTTCACTCTCTTCACTTGAAGGAGCCTCTGGAGGTTCTGAAGGCCCTAGCTGAGTCTCTGCCTCTGGCACCACATCCTCTTCAGCCTCCTTGCTGTCCGACTCGAGTGCTGGCTGCACAGGCTGCTGACGCAACACCACACCAGCCTCCTCCTCATCGGGATCAGCCACAATCCATGCAGGCTGCTGGCGGGCCACAACAGCTTAGAACAGTAGCTGAAATATCTGTTTTTTTCTACTCTAATTTACAATTATCTTGCATGGAAAAAAATAAAACAAATATTTTGTTATATTCAATTGCATACAGGACTCCACTGAAACTTAAAGAACTTAAAATATAACCTATCCAAAACATAACTCATACAATTTTATCCACTTAAACCTTTTCCTTTGCAGTGTTTTCAGAACTTATTATCCATTAATGTCCTTTGAGCTACAGAAGACAAATTATCAATAGGATTTTTCCCCAAAGAAGAAAATGAATTGTATGGATAGTTCATTGCATAGTAATGAATAAAGAACTTATCTTGTAAGAATCTTCCAATGACATCTAAAATCCAAAAATTAATAAAAAGCAATTTACAAATGTTCCATGTTAAAGTTAATTTTAAGGTAAAGTTAATTAAGGTAGATTTGAACCTAAGTTTCTAATACAGTGATTCTTAAAGTGTGGTCTCAGGATAATCATTTTTTTTTTTTTGCTAGATATTAAAGATACTGTCAAAAATTTAAAAATGTCACTCCTCTTAATATTTTTATTTGATAAAAAATAGAGTTTTTCATGAAAAATACTTTACTCATGATAATATTTAATGTTTTTGATATTGTTTTTCAACAAATAACAATTATATGGATAGATCAATTTTAATTATTAATATAGTAAATGCTGATAAATAGAACGTATACAAATGAAAACTCATTTGGAGTTCTACCCTGTTTCCCTGAAAATAAGAACCTGTCTTATATTTTCTTTGAACCTTGAAATAAGCGCTTGGCTTTACTGCCATGCGCTCAAAAGCCCGATTGGGCTTATTATCAGGGGATGTCTTATTTTGGAGGAAACAGGGTACATAATTTCTAAAACTGGAAAGTATGGCAGACTCATTGGCTTAAAGAGAGTGACCCCTTTAGAGGAAAGAACAACGAGAGATTCTATCCTGGAGTCAGTTCAGGGGATAAAATGTCTGAGGTCAAACACTTAAATCTATATCTGATGTTTCCAGGAAAGGAAGACAGTCTGGTGAGATTCTTGTAATATAGCTGGACAACAATAGAATACTGTATCTACCTTGCCCTGTTCACAAATGGTTCTGGTTGCTTGCATCTGAAAGAAGGAGTCAAAAAGGAGGACAAAACATTTAAAATATTTTAAGGCAGTGCCTTAATTACTACATAACAGTGGCTTAGACCTATAGGGAATTGTTTATTAGTATGAATTCCACCTTCCAGTGTTCTAGGAGGATTTTTTGTTGGGTATAAATATTGTGGAAATCTTAATCTTTTTGTTATTCATTCCAGATGAATGTTATTAGCCACAGAATTCCTCTATATCTACTCTGACAGACTATATCCACATAATACATATAAATAGATGTTACTGGTAATATACTGCCAAGCAAGTTATGTACACAAATGTATTGATCAATGAAGATATGGAATATAAATAAATAAATAGTTTATCATCTTACAGTGATTACTTACACTCAAGTATAAGTAATTATACTCAAGTTTTTACATTATGTCAGTTATTAATGTACTATGTCAATTATCAGCTAAAATAGGTTATTCATGCTTTCTCTAATTTAAATGTCACTTATTTTAAAATATGTTTAAATTATACACCATTTACCTCTTTTGAAATAATGATTATTTATTTATTTATGACATTTATATACCTGCCCAACTCACTCATAGTGATTTTGGATGACTAGAGGAATAAAACTCTAAATAGAAAACTCAATACATTCCTACCTCCTGATGACAATTTTCAAACAAACCACTTAATTGTGTTCCATAAGATTGTAGGATCCACAGATCTTGCCAGAAGGTCTGTGGATCCTACAATCATATGGAGCACAATTAAGTGGTTTGTTTGAAAATTGTCACCAGGAGGTAGGAATGTATTGAGTCTTTTAGAAGAGTATCAAGGTTGGGGCCAGTCTTATCACCATAGGGATGATGTTCTACAGGGAGTAAGCTACCATGGAAAATCTCCATCACTTTGTGGTCCCACTAGATAGACTTCCTTGATGAAGGGAACGTGTAACATACCCTGCCTCCCTGATCTGGTGGTTGGAGTGATGAGTCAGTCCTTTGAGTAACCTAAACTTTGGATAACATGTCAGGTTTTAATAACCAGCACCTTGAATTTGACCTGGAAGTGAATTGGCAACCAATGCAGTTCCTGCCAGTGAAATGACACATGTGCAAATCTAGACTTGCAAAAAACCATGTGGGCTGTTAAATTTTGAACCAACTGAAGCTTCCTGATACTTTTCAAGGGCAGCCCCATGTAAAGTACATTACAGTAGGTAGCTAGGCATGGGTGAATGTGATTAGCGCCTGTTTGACAGGAAAGTGTGTAAATGATGCATAGCCCACAGGTGTGCAAAAGGTCTCCTGTCCACAACTACCACCTGCTATTTGAATGAGCCCCAAGATTAAGCATCAGGTCTGTCTGAAGTAGTTCAACCCCATTCAAGACCAAAGATTCTCTATGGGTAAGAAAACCTCAAATCCAAAGCCTTGCCAGGGTCCACTTTCAGGCAACCCTACCCAGCCTTTAACAGGGGATTAAATTAAATTAAATTAAATTAAAGGAAAATATTAAAATACCATAGTCTATTTCTTGTAGCTGCTGATCATAGCTTTAAGAATATCTACAGATACAGTGAGAAGATTTTGTCAAACTTTTAGAGAATCAGACAATGATAACTTTATATTTCAGCAGCATTTGATTTGTAATATAATCAGGGGTAGGCTTAAGTGCACATTTGTATAGATCTTAAATATGCATCTAGCATTTGTTTAGCTTTACATAATATGACAATCCATAATGTTTTGTTTTGGCTGGAAAAAAATCTGGATAATCTGAATATGGCTACAAATAAAAGTCTCTATCTAATGTGCCAATAAAGGAGAACATTTGTAGCTCTGGGTTGAAATGAGGAGTCCTTGGTGCTCTCTGTGTTTGTTGTGACCCACCAGCGGCCTACGTGGATCGTGGCTGATCCCAACGAGGAGGAGGCTGGTGTGGTGTTGCGCCAGCAGCCGGCACAGCCGGCGCTCGCATCGGACAGCAAGGAGGCCGAAGAGGATGTGATGGCAGAGGCAGAGACTCAGCCAGGGCCTTCAGAACCTCCAGAGGCTCCTTCCAGTGGAGAGAGCGAAGTGGAGGAGCCTCTACTCAATGCTCGGGCACGCAGGGCTGCCAAAAGGCAGGAGTGGCTACTCGGGAGGAGGAGGTCTACTCGAGAGTAGGGCTTGAGGATAATTAGCCACTCCCTTAGCCTATTTAAGTCGCATGCAGTTAGTGCTTTCTTGCTAGAAACAACATCTCATTACTACAGAGCATCTTGGAGAGCGAGCGACTTCTCATATCTGGTTTTCTGGGCTGATTGCCAACCTTTGTCGGACTTTGTTCTTAATAACTTTGATAAGGACCCTTTGCATGGGAAGCCTGCATTCTTGAAAGGGGTTTGTTTGGAATTAAACAGTGTTTGCGAAGCTTGGTGTGTGTCATATTCTCTGGGAATCCGAAGCTGGGGCAGAACAGTGTTTGATTGTTTTCTTGCAGACATTTCATTATTGAAACTAGGTAACATCATCAGTTCGGGCAATGAAACATCTGCAAGAAAACAACCAAGCTCAGAGAGCACCAATGACCTCTCTGTCTAATGTTTTATAGCCCAAATATGATTCTATTGGAACAGATATGATATGGCTATTAAAGTGTGGTATATGAAAGTAGAAAAATTCCATTAATTTTTTTTAGCTCGTAGCACATAGTCAATGACTGCTGGCTGCCAAGCAATTTTAGGACATCAACCTATTTTATATATTACAGCACTAAATTCAATTAACCATATTAGCTTCGTTTTAAGTTGCTCCCAGCAGTTTCTTTCATCAGAAAGACAAAAGCAGCATCACACCTCAGGCCCTTTTGCGGAAAGGAATGTGGCTTCTGTGAGTACAGTAACAGTGCAATGCTGCTGTCACCTTGCCCGCCTCCAAAGAAGCTTAGAGACATTCCGTGTTATTTGATCCCCCTTCGTCAATTAACATTGCACTGACAGGATTCAAGCTTTCCTTTAGTCCTATTTGTTTTGTGTTGTCACATGTACATATGAAAGGAGGAGCTTGTGTAGAAGAGCTGTTTTTCACCGTTTTGACAAAATGACAAGTAAAAACTTTGTTTTCAAGAAGCTGTCAGTAAGCATTGGAAACGACAATCACATGGCCGCAGCTGATTGCAGCAGTGCTGAAGCTGTTAGCATCACAGTGGTGCTAAAATGGCTATATAACTTCCCTAAATTTTATTCCCATGGCAATAATGGATCCTGGCATTCTGTAAGTTATCCCATTTGAGATATCTTGGTTGAAAAATATTTGCCCTATGATGCATCGTTTTATTCAGTTGAAGGTATCAAACAAGCAAAGAGACATGAGAGTTTTAGTAATATTTGTATGGCCACCCATCTCATGGAAAGTAACTCTGGATGACATGCAACAATCAATAAATGAGTAAAATAAATAAAATAAACATTATCTAAAACATATAACTATTATTAAAAGAGCATTAAAATGATAAGAACTAAAGCAGGAAAAGAGAATAATAGAAGGAGGGTGTTAATAATAATGGAGCCACCTCATGAATTCACTCATCCCCTGGGGTCTCCAAGCCTGCTGGTATAACCAAATCTTGAAAAACCTTCAAAAACCCAGGAATGATGAAGTTAACCTCATCTCTAAGGGGAGAAGATTCCACAATGTGTATATGTTGTGACACACACACACACACACACACACACACACACACACACAGAGAGAGAGAGAGAGACGTATACATACACACAAACAGATAGAGAAATAACATATGTCTATGTCACCTCCACATACAGTAGAACCTCTGATCAAAACGCTTCTGACCATGACCAAATCAGGTTCCGATAAAAAAAATGTACATTTTTTCCCCTGCGGCCGATTTCCCCTTCCACGCCTTTTTTTTTTTTTTTTTGTAAGCGCCAAATTTTCAAAATTAGGTTCGGGTCATGACCAAATCGGTTTGTGACCAAAGTTATGGAATGAATTATGTTCGTGACCAGAGGTTCTGCTGTATATATGTATATCATCTTTACCTAAAAGATAGAGAAAAACTCAATGTTTTACCTGAGGAGTGAAATAATCTTATCTGGGTTTGCAGAGTAAAGGCATTTGGGGGGGGGGAATGTGAAGCATAACCTTTCTGCTACCACTGGTATCTTGATACCCATTTGCCTTTGCCACATCTGTGCAATTGTTTCCTTTTTGTAGAAAAATGTATTCATAATTGCTGACCAAAGTCATAAAAGGAAACTAGCAATTGAAGATGAAAAAAAATTGCATTCCAAATATAACTGGCAACTAGGTGATGGGCAAAGTGAATGACAGAAGCATTGCTTTTCTATTTGTTGCTTGCTTTTCACTCCTAAAAAAATGTCACTGTGGTTCCTATTTGAGAAGACCATTCTGTCAGAATCAATTATATCTGTGCGGTGGACCATGTCCCCATTTGAATAAAGAGGAAGTTAATTAAAAAGGTGTGATTACCAAAAAGAGAAAATTATGTTTTGTCAAACAACAATAAAAAGGCTATGTATTTTGTCAAAAAAGATGCTTTGCTTATTCCTGTTGCCATATGCCAACATTATGAGTGTGCATCTGCTGAATATCTCATGAACATGTTTCTATTTCTTTAGGGCAGGAGATTTAAAAGCTTGTACAAATGATATAGTGATGGTTCTGGGGAAATGTTCCAATTTCTTTGACAGTCAAACTTCATTCCCAGATACTGAAATATAGATGATAATATATAGATGATGTTCTGCATACCAGAACTAGACACAAGAACAGTTTTTTCCCAAATGCCATCACTCTGCTAAACAAATAATTCCCTCAACACTGTCACACTATTTACTAAGACTGCATTACTATTAATCTTCTCATCGTTCCTCCCACCCATCTCCTCCCACTTATGACTGTATGACTGAACCTTGTTGCTGGTATACTTAAGATTTACTTACTTATTTGTTCCCTATGACTATCATTAAGTGTTGTACCTTATGATTCTTGATGAATGTATCTTTTCTTTTATGTACACCGAAAGCGTATGCACCAAGACAAATTCCTTGTGTGTCCAATCACACTTGGCCAATAAAGAATTCTGTTCTATTGTATTCTATAATCAGTGGCTTGGTGAACTTCTCCTGGCCTGAGGTTAAGTGGATCTGAATCGAGGAAGTTGGAGAAAGAGATGTGGCTAATTACCACATCTAGTATCTAAGCAATTGTTTGTTCAGTCTGTTTTATGAGTAAAAATTGCACATCACATAAAAGTCCAGGTTATGGTAGTGGGGAAACCCTTGAGGGCTGAAGGCAACTTACAAGTCGTGCTGGATGCTGGAATCACCCACAATTTTATTTTGTTGCAGCCTGTCTTGACAAAAACTTGTGCCTTAGACAATGTCATCAGTGATTCAATTCTTACTATTCCTGCCTGAAGCCAGATGTCATATTACCAGTCCAAAAAAAAATTAGACTGCTGTATATTAATGCTGATTGAAGTTTCATTTAGAAAAGGAAAGGACACAAATAAGCCTTTTTCCAGAATTATTTGTGGCAGAAGCTTCTCTCAGCTTTATCTCTCAGCATTTCATAGAATGTAGATAACATTTTTGTGTTAACTGATTTTAGTAGTCTCACTTTGATTTTTATGTCTTACCAGCTGTGTATCTGTCAAGAGACTGAAGATGGAAATAAGATGGACACCTGCAGCATAAACACTAATTTGGAACAAGTCTCACTGAACTTCACAAGAACTATTTCTGAAAAGCCTTGCAAAGGATAACTGGTTGAATGTTATTATTCTCTGCATTTTGACCAGGTGGAAATGCTACTTGTGATTCTGCCTGCAACACCACAGAACCTTTGAGTTAGGATCTGTTTTAGCGGTAGGAATGTTATAAAAGAGAGTCTTCATTTATTTTAACTTAATCTATGTACTGATCCAGGCAGAATGATTAACTGGATAAAATAATTATGTAGGCAGTTTTAGAACAGGATGACTTCACCATGAAGCTTGTTTGACAACAATAAACCAATTATAGTCTGCATCAGCCTGATCCTGCTCTTTAGGTTATCATATAACAACAACAACAACAACAACAACAACAATAATGTGAAGATCTTGTGGGACTTTCAAATACAGACGGATCGTCACTTGGAACACAACACACCAGATATCACAGTTGTCGAAAACCAAAATGTACAATTTATTGACATCGTGGTACCAGGAGACGCCAGAGTCGAAGAAAAAGAACTGGAAAAAAACATGAAATGTCGCGACCTGGCCATAGAAACTACACGGCTATGGATGAAACATGTCACAGTGATACCCATTGTCATCAGGGCACTTGGTACGATGTCCAAGAATTTCACAAAACACTTCAAGAAATTGCAGCTTCCTGCAATAACACCAGACTTGATCAGTTTGATCAGACTTTATATTAAGTATCTTTTTTGATCCTTGGATTCTTGCTTTTCTTCTATAAATTCTGTTGCTTTTTGTAAGAAAATTCAGTCTGATCAAACTTGACTTTCAACAATAGGAGGTCTATACATCTTCACAGGTAAATAATATGTTGGAAAAGCTAGTGGGGCTTCACATATTGCCTGTGTGCTTAAACCATCTCATATCACTTGGAAGTAGATTGCCAAAACTTGGCTAGATTTATTAGCTGCTGTGTAAGTAATGGCAAGAATGTTAAATGAGAGGTTGCTAAGTTACAAATCAGGTAAAATAAAGGCATGTTACCAGATGCGTATAAATATTCTGCCTTAATTTCAACAGAAGGATGTAATGCAGCCTTAACTGAAGATGCTACCCCATAGTTTAATTTATAATATGGATTTATCCCTTGCTCCCTGTTGGGCCTTACCTCCAGCTATATTTCAGGGAGGCATTACTGCGTTCAACTCTTATTACAACGTATCATGTATGAGAGAAATAATGTCTAATACCCAGCACGGGGTTTTTTAATGGTAATACGCTTATCGTACAAGCTCCTCCCAAGACAAGCTGTGCTGGCCTAGAGTATGAGCTCCTGGCAAATACACACAAATCTTAATATCCTGACAAGGAAAACAGCTTCCTTTTTGCAAGTCTGTAGGACAGAGATGCCTTCGTATGCTCAGATAATGTAGACATTAATCCACTGGCTGTGGGAATGGGATTTGAACTGTGCAAATTCTAGTTCAAAGGAGAAAGCTTTCTTAGTCATGATGTCTTTGTTATTGGTGTTTAACTAATACATGATTTAATAAAAGCTACACGGCTCTGATTGGCTTACCAAATGGATTTGGATTCCTTGAAAATGCAGCTGGCACCATGCAAGGCTGATTGGGAAAAAGGCTCAGCATATTCAGGACTGAAAATCAACCCGACTTTTAATACAGGCACCAGTCATCTGCCTTAAAACTAGAACATAGTCTTAGATAGCTAGTGGCATTAGCTTATATGCAAGGCTATCAGTGTCCATCGTAGTTACTGACTTCTTGATGATGGTATCAGTGCTGAAAATTTTAATTATTCTTAATTGCCAATTTCTGCATTGGTCTATGAAATACTTTGACAATGCACTGATCTCAAACGCTATATAATCATGAATAATTGTAATGCATTAACGTAATCTTTATGGTTAGTCAAATTCATGTAAGTGTCTACACAACTTGGAAATTCTTTTTAATGGCTAGAAATACAGGCAAAAAGAGGACTTAGGAACAGGTAGTCCTCAACTTACGACCACAATTGAGACAAAAATTTCTGTTGCTAAGTGAGACAATTAAGCATATTTTGCCCCACTTTACAACTTTCTTGCCACAGTTGTTAAATGAATCCCTGCAGTTGTTAAATTAGTAAACAGTTGTTAAGTGAATCTGACTTTGTTTGTCATGAGGTCCCAAAAGGGGATCACGGGGCCTAGGATACTGCAACCGTCATAACTATGAGTCAATTGCCAAGTGTCTAAATTTTGATCACGTGACCAGAGGGATGCTGTCCAACAGTCATAAGTGTGAATAAGGGTCATAAGTCACTTTTTTCAGTGCTCTTGTAATTTCAAACAGCAATTAGCTCTGTTTCAAAGTTCCCCATTTGCAAGCAGACGAAGCTTCCAGTCTCCCTCTGGGCAAAAAGTGCGTGGCAGAGCCAGGTGGAGACAGAGGCATGGGGGGAGGTAGGCGATGCCAACATGCTGTCCACTCCATTCCCACCATCTCTTTGTCTGCCCATGCCTGCTGGGGCAGGTGCCCATGTGGGGCATTGGAATAGCCTGCCTCCCCGCTGTGTCTTTGCCTCCCCCTGGTGCCAGTGCCACTGCACAAGCCTCCCGCAAGCCTCCCATGAGCCAGGCAGCCGTGCAGCATGTCCAGATGGCCTGTATCCCCTCCACTCTGCCTCCATGCTCAGACTTATCTGTGCTGTGCCAGGGGCCAGCGGGCTGTGGCTACTGCTGGACACCATCGGCCCCCAGGTGGTCACTGCCTCTTGTGCTGGCCACGCCCATCCCCCGGGCTTATTTTTGGGGTAGGGTTTATATTAGGCCCACCCCCCAAAATCAGACTAGGGCTTATTTTCAGGGTGGATCTTATTTTTGGGGAAACACGGTACCTATATTTTATTTCACAGTCTTTCGCTTATACTATGCTGCTATTTATTATTTTATTTCTGTTTTAATTTAAAGTTCGTCTGGGAGAAGCCCTCATTTAGGATAGTTTGGACACATATTTCCATTCTAAGGACATTTCAGTTTTAAATTACACAAGATATACTTTACAGTTTTGGAAGACAGAAAATGTAAGGCAATAATCCATCTTCCCTCAACAGTGGAAAAATCTTTGAAGGGAGTATGGGATGGTTTGCAGATTGAACAAGCTGTGGTATGGCAGGCTTAGGAGCCCAAAAATCCTACCCTATAATTTTATCAGAAGAAATGCAACAAACTATTCTGATCGACCAGCCACACTTCTTATTATCCTGGAAAAGATGTACAATTAGCTTCATCTCACCTGAGGCTTTCCCCCTTCCCCCATGTTACTTACACGAAGAAGTACATGTGCATGGCAAAGCCAGGATTATCTATGTATTTCATATCAAGCTTTCAGCATAAACAGCTCATCATCGCATTGTGGTTACAGCCCCAGCCAAGGAAATCTTGTCATAATTCCCATGTCTTCTAAAGCAGAACAAATGCAGTTTGCTTATCCAAATCCAATTTGATCCAGTGATCCCAAGCTGTCGTAGATAAATTGTTGCTGCATGTGATTTTAGGGTTCTAGGCAGAAATCTGTTAGAGTGTCCTTAGACCAGCTGCTTGACTCAACTGCTTTTTTTTTTTTTTTAATTTGATTTATATGCCGCCCTTCTCCGGAGACTCAGGGCGGCTTACAGTGCGTTAAGCAATAGCTTTCATACTTTTGTATATTTATACAAAGTCAGCTTATTGCCCCCACAAACTGGGTCCTCATTTCACCTACCTTAGAAAGGATGGAAGGCTGAGTCAACCTTGAGCCTTGGCGAGATTCGAACCAGCAGTAAATTGCAGGCAACTGTGTTAATAACAGGGTGCTTAGACCACTGTACTATCAAGGCTTGACTCAAGTTGTATCCCGAATGACTTTAAATCTTGTTTTCAATCAAATCAATCAAAACCTTTTCTGGCTTTGGGCCAGAGAAATCTATAATAAAAGTGCATAAATCTGTAATTAATAATAAAACTAGAAAGACACAGAGTACAATAAAATTTCATAAAAATTAATATAGTAATGATCACGCAGATAACAGCACCAATCACCAAAATTTGTACTAATCTTCACTCATAGATAGCATGGATAGAACAAACTGGTCAAAATCTTGCAACTTAGATATTTAAAATTTCAGGGGGCGCTTGAATATCATGTTTAAAATACAATTCAGGGCACTTACCACTATTAAATATATGTTAAAACACATAGCTAATAATATAATCAATAGACATGGTCTCATTTAGACATGTAATTTCTTCTAGCGACTCAGAATTCTAAATCCTTTTGCAGTTCATAAATCAGTTATTACTTTAGAAAACTTTTTTCTTATGAAGGGTATGTAACTTTAAAAACCTCTTCAGAGATTTCATTTCCAAGAATATCTTCCAGCAGCTTTCACATATCTCTAGTGCCTCCTTACTGAGTTATTTGCTGGAAGGAAAGGAAAATCCTCTGTAATTTTAATCCTTTTGCTCATGGTTAATAGAGCTATGACGGGCAAGAAAAAGGTTTTGCATTCTATCCCATGTATATATACACCTATATTACATTTCCCCCTTCAAATCAATTCTGTATACAGCCTGGATGTCTAGCTGTAGGCTTAACTGCAGTTTCAGCCTTTTAGTTTATTTGTAGTTACACAATGGTCAGTCAGTTGGTCTTTATATGATTAATGATGAACAACCATCCTCTTAGCTGTAGCAGCCTATTACACATTTTCTCCTTATACTCCAGTACTGGAAATCACAGTTCTGTCTATTTTTTTACATCTGAAAACTTTCTATAAGCATTATTTCACTTGAAATTTTCATTTTGATTATAATCAAAACTCAGTAGTGCAACTATTACTGACCTTCAGGGCCTCATCTCAGCAACTCTACAACCTAGGGGGGCTCCTATATAACTGCCTAGGTAATAGCAGCTAATAGGACAGTAACAAACACATCTAGCATCAGTTCCTAGATTGACACAAGCTTATTAGCCATTTTATGGCAACCAACATACCCGTGCTTGCTTTGCTTTGAAGCGATAATCACTGTTTCAGAAAGAAATGTGAAAGTACACATTAATGTGGTTGGATTTCAGGGCAGGCACTGAAGGATACATGCTGAATTCCATGTGCCCTGAATTGTTAACCCAAGAATTAAGTATTGAGGAAAACATTTTATACAGTTATGTTTAGTGGCTTATAGCAAGACAGACTGACCTAACTACTTGACTTTTCCCCAAAGAATAAGTATATTCTTAGGGGTAAAGAAGATGATTCAGTTGAAAAGACTGTCTTCATCTCATCTCCTAATTGCTACCTTTCACATTTTGAAGCGGTGCAGTGAAATATGCCAATAAGAAAATAGATCACGTAATGATGTCTTTCTTTCTTTATTCTATTCTGTTGTTACAATAGTTTATTAATATTATTGTGGTATAGTCTATCAATTAATACAATGTAGGGAGTTTTTCCACCAATCAAGCAATATAATTTGTGTTCTATATTATGATACTATACATGGAATTGTATAGAAGTGCATTTTACTGAAATTAATGGGACATTTTCCCCATTATGCAACAGACTTTAAAATTCTCCTTGATGAATTAGGTCATCAAGGAATTCACCTATATTTGAATAATCTGTGGGAAGATGGGATTAATAAGCAACGCCTAGTTCAAATAACTGGTAAAAAGATGGAAGTGTTGACAAGTAAATTCTTCTTGGAGTCTAGTTTTTACCAACGTGTGTTTAATGTGAAACTCTGTTCACTTAAGCATTGATCATATATTACACTCATTATGAGGAAAAGGTTATTCAAGGAGTGTCTTACCTTGGCAACTTTAAAACTTGTGGGCTTTAACTTCCAGAATTCCCACTTGGCTGAAAATTGTGGCAGTTTTTGTCATAAAATTGCCAAATTTTGATATCCCTAGGTAGTTCTCTGCCTCTAGGACCTACATATGTTTGCCATGAAACAGATTATATTTATGCATAGACAGTAACCAGTCTAGTACTGTCTCAGGTAGCTCTCAGAATTTTATCCAGCATGTCTACAGAATGATTGATTCAGCTCCTTTTGAGATAACAAAAAAAATTGCAACTGTTCGCTTGTCTGTTATATTAGAAGTCTATGTTCTCAGATTCCAACCTGTGTTTATTTTGTAAAATGAGCATTTGCTGAATTGCTTATTTTCTCATTCCTAAACTCTTACTAATATCCCATACTAATATTCTTTTCCCACTGGATTATATATTGAGTCTTGTGTTATTTCCCTGCTATGAATTCTGTTTGCCACTACCATGCATCATAATCTCAACTGTGGTTATGCAGATATGACATGGGATGACTATCTTCTCTGCAGGACTATGATTGACTCTCAGGAGGAATCTCTGCACTATTGATATATTCAGTGTAGTCACCTCCTGTGTGTCTTAAGAGCTGCTTTCATACAAAAAAGATACCGTGACTATAAAACTGTCAGTAAATGTATATTTGGTCAACAGATTTATGTGGAAACTTGTTTTATATTACAAACTATCTAAAAGATGAGCAGATGACTAA